CTGCAGAAGCCGCGCTCCCGGCCCGGGCTTCCTGGGTCCCGGCGCCCCCTCCCACCTCCCCTCCTTGTTCGCGTTGGAGTTCGGTGCAAAGACCTGGAAAGGCGGGGCGCCTTCGTTCTCATGGAGCAGCCAAGTAATTGCTCCGGGCTTCCAGCCCCGGCTCCTCTCTCTGGGTCTGTGTGCGTTCCCGCCGGAAATCCAAACTGCCGTTCATGGGGGCCGGGGGGGCAGCAGGCCGTGCAGTAGCATTGGGATGCCTCCGTGTGAAGCCGGCTTGGAAGGTGGGCTTTCTCACGCAGCCGGTGCCTTAGGGTGACCCCGCACGGGGAGCTGGGAGCCGCAGAAACCCCGCTGCTGATGAGCGCGAGGACGCGGCTCCGTGGGAATAGCTGCGGGGAGAGTGCGGCGTCCCAGCCCGTGCCGTGTGCGTGCATTTCTCACTCTCGGTGAGAAGGGCGGGCGTGGGGGGAGATGGGGGACTGGGAGGTCTTCCCTGAGCCCCCCGCGAGGCTTGCTGTCTGCAGCGCGCCTGGGCGACCTGGCCGGCTGTGCAGGGCACGTCCACTGTCCAGGGCGCCGGTGAGGCGTGGGGGCCGTCGGGTCACGGGACGCGTGAGGGTCGCCGGGCGCGGTAAACGAGATCACGTGTGCCGAGCGCCGTGCTGGGCACCGGGGGGGTCAACAAGTGTGAGTTCCCTTCCCTCGCCCGCCGCTTTGGGGATTTTCTTGGGGGAAGGTGGGAGAAGAAGGGAACATAGGCCATTGCGATGCAGTGAATGATAGAATAAAATGTTGGAGTAAAGGTGCGAAATAGGGGAGCGAAGAGGAAAGAGCGTAATTCAAGATTGGGAGCCGGGGTGGGGTTGGGGGGGATTGATGGGAATTTCGGCATTTAAATGGGACCTTTCAGAATGGGCAGGATTTCAGCTGATGTGCATTTGGAGGGGAGGACCATCCAAGTAGAGGTGGTGCTGTTCTTGAGAAAGATGGGGTGGGGTGGGGGAGCAGAGGGCAAAGCTGAGACTCTCCAAAGCTCTTAGGTTCCTGTTGAGTCTGACCTGCGCAGATTGTCTCTTATTTTGCTTTTGGTGTGAATTTCCCAGAAACCAGATCTAGGGTATTCAAGCAAGTACAGAGAGATGTCTAACAGAGCTTAATACATGATTTTTTTGGATTAGACATTTTGTGTTATTTGGACTGCCGTTCTCTTCTATTTGAATTTAATAAAGAATTATTTGTAGATAATTCCTCTATTTGGTAGAAAAAGCATCTGATTTTTCAGATTCAAAAGTCTCACTAAGGTTACATATTAAGTAACTGGCTGAAAGGAGGGAGTGGAGTAGTGGGCACATATTGGGTGTGTCTCAAACTTTTGATCCACATTATTTGTTTTTACAAATATTTTAACACGTATTTTTCCACGGAGGTGTTTTTAACCTTTGTCTTTGAAGATAATTAAAAAGGCCTGTTCTTTTGGTTTTGCTCACTTTGGTCCCCACTCATGCGTAATTACTTATTAGGTTGGTATGGTGGGTGACGGTCACTCTATTCATAGGTAATTAGAGACACGGTATAAAATCTCAAGTAGTTGAATGTCAACATATTAGTTTTGTTAATACCGAACTCTTATTTGAGGAAAATTAGTATTAATGAAACAGGTATGTGACCTCAGGCAAATCACTTATCAAGGATCTCAATTTCTTTACCTATAAAATGAGAAATATGAATTAGATCAGCGATTTTCAACCTTTTTCCTCTCCTGGCACATATAAACTAATTACTAAAATTCTGTGGCACCCCAAAAGTATATATTTTGCCTGACCCTGCCCCCCCCAAAAGAAAAAAAGATATAATTTCGATTCATTTACACTGGAGGGCTATTGTTGTGTTGCCTGTTGTCTTTTTTTTTTTTTTTTTTTAACAGTCTAAGGCAAAAGACGTCAGTGCTCCTAACTAGTCAGGTATTGCAGGTTTAAAAAATTCTTGCAGCCCACCAGTTGAAATTCACTGGATTAGATCACTATTTTTCAATCTGTGTTTTCCTGAAGTCTGGAATTTTGAAGAAGACCTTTAGAGGTTCTTCAGATGTCTGATTTAAACCTCATTACAGCCGAAACCTGTATGGCTCAGTGGATAGAGCGTTGGCCTGTGGACTGAGAGGTCCCAGGTTCGATTCCCGTCAAGGGCATGTACCTTGGTTGTGGGCACATCCCTAGTGGGGAGTGTGCAGGAGGCAGCTGGTCGATGTTTCTCATCGATGTTCCTAACTCCCTATCTCTCTCCTTTCCTCTCTGTAAATACTCAATAAAATATATTTTAAAAAAAATAAACCTCATTACAAATGTATTTTAAACCCGTAATTTTAAGTGACTATTATATGACATGCACTGTTTAAAATGCTTTTACATATTTTAATTTACTTAATCCTTGCAATAATCCTATGAAGTTTTTGTTAATATCTAAGAAAACAGGCACAAAATACAAAGCTATAAAGTGGTAGAGCTTTATAGCATAATTCTTAAGCTTTCATTCTTTTTTCTTTTTTTTTTCTTGTTAATCCTCACGCAAGGATATTTTCCCATTGGTTTTTAGAGAGCGTGTAAGGGAGGGAGGGCAAGAAAGAGAGAGAGAGAGAAAGAAAAAGAGAAAGAGAAACATTGATATGAGAGAGAAACAACAATTAGGTTGCCTCCTTCACTCAATCTGCAACTCAGGTACTTGCCCTTGACCAGGAATTGAACCTGTGACCCTTCAGTGCTTGGGCGGATGCTCTAATCAGTGAGGTACACGGGCCAGGGCAAGTTTGTATTCTTTTTTTTTTTAATATATTTTATTGATTTTTTACAGAGAGGAAGGGAGAGAGATAGAGAGTTAGAAACATGGATGAGAGAGAAACATCGATCAGCTGCCTTCTGCACATCTCCTACTGGGGATGTGCCCGCAACCCAGGTACATGCCCTTGACCGAAATCGAACCTGGGACCTTCCAGTCCCCAGGCCTACGTTCTATCCACTGAGCCAAACCGATTTCGGCGCAAGTTTGTATTCTTAATCACATTCCTATCCTGCCACCATAATAAAATAAATAACACACAAGTACTTTTTATTGTGGTAAAAATATACAACGTAATTTTTACCATTCTAAGCATTTTTAAGTTGTACAGTTCAGTGGTATTAAGTACATTCACATGGTTGTGAAACAATCATCACTATCCATTTCCAGAACTTTTTCATCATCTCAAACTGAAACTACTCATTAAACAGTAACTCTCCATCTCCTCTCCCTCTCCAACCCTTGGTAACTGTCTATGATTTTGACTACCCTGGGACGTCACATAAGTGGAGTCATGCAATATTTATTTTTTTGTTGTATCTGGCTTTCTTCACTTAGCATAATGTCTTCAAGTTTCGTCACGTTGTAGCATGAATCACAATTTCATTATTTTGGGCATATACCCAGAAGTGGAATGGCTGGTTCATATGGTAATTTTGTTTGATTTCTTTTTAGAAACTACCCTACTGTTTTCTACAGCAGTCATGGCATTTTACATTCCCACCAGCAGTGCACAAGGGTTCCAATTTCTTCTGTCCTCACCAACACTCGTTATTTTATGTTTTTGTTTTATAATAGCCATCCTAATGAGGGAGAAGTGGTGTATCTTTGTGGTTTTACATTTTTCTAATGATTAATGATGTTAAGCATCTTTTCATGTGCTTATTGACCAATTGTGCATCGTCTTTGTAAAAATGTCTATTCACACCCTTTGCCCCTTTTTAAAATTGGTTTGTTGAGTTGCAAGAATTTTTTATGTATTCTGGATATTCGTATTAGATTAATGATTTACAAACATTTGCTCCCATTTTGTGGGGTGATTTTCACTCTATAGTGTCCTTTGATGTTCAAAGTTTTTCATTTTAATGAAGTCCACTTTATTTTTGTCTTTTTTTGCCTGTACTTTTGGTGTCATGCCTAAGATATCATTGCAAATCTAGTGTTATGAAGCTTTTCCTCTGTTTTCTTCTAAGAGTTTTAATAGTTTTAGCTCTTATGTTTAGGTCGTTGATCCATTTTGAGTTATTAGTATTTGCATAAATAATGTTAGGTAATGTCACTTCATTCTTTTATTTGTGAATATCCAATTTTCCCAGCACCATTTGTTGAAAGGACTGTATGTACTTTCCCAATTGAATTGTCTTGGCATCCTCATCTACATGTATATAAAATTTTAACACATTGAAAACCATAGTGCAACAACATGATTAGACATGGTTTGTTTTTTGGGGGGGGATGGGGGGCAAGCATTCCTTACTATACAGTAGTGCAACAACATGATTAGACATGGTTTGTTTTTTGGGGGGGGATGGGGGGCAAGCATTCCTTACTATACAGTAGTGCAACAACATGATTAGACATGGTTTGTTTTTTTGGGGGGGATGGGGGCCAAGCATTCCTTACTATACAGCTTCTCTTACTATCTCTGTGCTTAATTGTGAATTTTAAATGGGTTAATTAATGATAAGGAAAGTTGGAGTTTGCAGTAGATTTTTAAAAAACTCAGCCATGTTTATTCATATGGAATTGTTTAAATAATACCTTACTATGGCAAATGCATTGTGTTTAGTTAAACAATGGGCAAGACCCAAGTCCATTTCTTTGTGGGTATAATTCTGTGTAAGTCATTTGTTTAGTAACAAATAAACATATAACACTATGTCCTCATGTCATAATATTAGATGTTTCTATAACTTTTTTAAAGGTTTGGGGTTTTTTGTATGTTTGCCTTCTAAGCAGTTGTTAGATATTGTTACTAAATTTTGAAAGAAAAAATTATTTTAAAAAAAACCCACTTGTATCCATTTTATTGAAGCATATCCTGAGACTACAAAGTGAACCATTAAAAGCTGCTAACAAGACAAAACAAAACACAACAAAAGCACCCTGGCCAGGTAGTTCAGTTGGTTGGAGTGTAGTCCTGGGTTCAGCACACAGACCCAGGTTGACGTGCGCTGACCACCAGTGGGTGGTGTGGAACATTGCGGGTGTCCGTGACGCGGCAGTGGAAGCGCTGCTGGCCCTGATGGGCCCAGTGAGAGTGGGACCACAGTGGGATGGTGGAGCAGGTGAGGGGGCGGCCCCAGCAGGCCAAGACGGTGTGAATGGGGACCTGATTGCCCCGCAGACGGCGGCCAGCGGTGGGGGTTGAGGCCGCTGCCTGGCTCCCAGGCACTGAGGGAGCCGGATGGGGGGGGCTCGGCCCCGATCGATCATCCCACAGCCAGCGGTCGGCAGGCCCTCATCACCTGATCGGGTCTGGGACCAGGAACTGGGGGTGGGTGGCGGGTGACCAACCTCCCGCTGGCTACCTGGGGGTGGGGATGATGGGGATGGAGGTGTGATGAGAATGCAGGGTGTCCACTGAGCTTGCTCTCACTCTCCCTGCAATCCTCCCCCCGGAACACCACAGCTCCCACACCCAGGCCAGCCAGCCAGGGGGCGTGACCATGGGAGGTTGGCTGTGAGAGCACACTGACCACCGGGGCAGCTCCTGCATTGAGTGTCTGTCTCTGGTGGTCAGTGCACGTCGTAGCGACTGGTCGACCGGTCATTCGGTTGCTTAGGCTTTTATATATATACTAGAGGCCCAGTGCACAAAAATTTGTGCACTCGGGAGGGTCCCTCAGCCCGGCCTGTGCCCTCTCACAGTCTGGGACCCCTCGGGGAATGACCATCTGCTGGCGTAGGCCCGCTCCCTGGGGGGGTTGGGCCTAAGCCGGTATAGGATAGAGGCCTGGTCCATGGGTGGCGGCCAGCTGGTTTGCCCTGAAGGGTGGCCCAGATCAGGGTGGGGGTTCCCGCTGGGATGCCTGGCCAGCCCGGGTGAGGGGCTGGTGGCTGTTTCTAGTCTGGCCACAGCCCCTTCAGGATAGGGGTCTTTACTGGGGTGCCTGGCCAGCCTGGGTGAGGGGCTGATGGCTGTTTGCAGGCTGTCCATGGCCCCCAGCCACCCAAGTTTCCAGTGGAGACTGGCTGGAAGCAGGTATCTGGGATTTATTTAGCTTCTATAATTGAAACTTTGTTGCCTTTTGCGGAGACCACAGCCGGCCAGGGCAGGTGGGAAGCTTGGCTTCCTCCATCACTGGGGCAACCAAGCCTCCTGCTTGCTCCAGCTCCGTGGCTGCCGGCTGCCATCTTGGTTGGGTTAATTTGCACATTGTTGCTCTGATTGGCTGGTGGGCATGGCTTGGGCATAGCGAAGGTACGGTCAGTTAGCATCTTTATCTTTTATTAGTGTAGATAGATACCACATTTTGTTTATCCATATACCTGTTAATAGATATTTGGGCTGATCCCATTTCTAATGTTTACAAATAAATAAAACTGTGGTGACATTTGTGTATAAATTTCTTCATGTCTATGTGTTTTCATTTATTTTGGGTAAATACCTATGAGGACATGCTGGTTACATAGGGTAGGTATATTTTTAATTTGAGTCACTTTTTATGTTCTTATTAGCCTTCACGAAGTGACTGAGTCTTTTGCACATTTTAAAAATCGGGTTTGTCTTTTTTAATTATAGCAATCTATAATAATAAAAGCATAACATGCTAATTAGGCCAGATGGCTGAACAGCAGAACAACTGTATGGACAACCTACGGATGAAGCCAGGCTGCAAGGGCCAAGC